ATTTCTAACTAAAAAATATTAATTTTAAAATTAAGTCCTGTGGTTGAGTACAAGTTTATAATAATATTAAATTGATGATACTTCTATTTATATAAAATATGGTAATTTTCATGCACTTTTTAACAATTCTAGTGATTATTTATTTTCTTAAACAAATCATATTATTATGCTAATTTGATATCTTTTTCTTGAAAGAGTAAGATAAAGACGAAGATACTGAAATACTTTATATAATGAGATTTGAGTTTAAAACAATAATCTTCATCTACATTATTGTGGATTTAGATATAGCACAAAAATAGTTTAAGTAAAATTATTTTCTTAAAAACAATATCTTATTGAAATTTTACTTAAAAAATTTTTATAAAATGATAATGATTAGAAGGCACAAAAAACAATTAAAAATTATGAAAAGATATTTAATCAACAGGATTATTAGATTTTCTGGCTACTTAGATATCATATGATAACGTTGTAACTTTGATAGATAAGGTTAAGAATATTTAAAGTATATATTATTTCTACAATAATTTTCTTTCAATAATCACCACAGATTATATTCTTATTTTACTTGTTTCTTCTATACATATTCTATTAATAAATTTTGATTAAAGTAATTTTAGCATTTCTCTTTAATTGGTGTTTTCAATTAATTTTAATTCAATAACATTTTAATTTTAATTTCAAAATCAGTAATTATATAGAAAATAAAAATAATTGATAATGAGTTTACATTTATGTAAACTGCTATTTTGATCATATAATGAAATAGTTTATTACTGATTAAATTACTCCAAAATGATTATTTAATTAAACTGATAAATCTTTTCTAACAATCATTTTGATTTTATTTTCAAAAATACAGATACCAACATAACTATAATAATAATTTAATATTTTCCAATAAATTGAATCCTTCTAATTAATGTCTTGAATAAACTTCATTATTCTGAAAATAATAATTTAAATAGAAAGATTAGTTTTTACTATTTCTATAATTTATTGAATATTTCTTGATTTCATTTTAATCTTAATCCTCATCTTTTTAGACCAACATAATCTTTGAATTAAGAATCTTAATCCTTTAAGTAAAATAAAAAATGTTTTAAATCCTTAACTAAAATTAAATACTTAAATAGCAAAGATAATACAACCATTCAACATATTGAAGCAACCTTGTAAATTCTTTTTATACATCTCTAAATCAGTATTAGATAAACATCTATTCAATTTTAATTTAATTTAATAAATTAAATATAAATTTATAAGATTAAGTTAAATAGGGTTTAAATTAATGTAGAAAAAATTAAAATTAAAATTAAAGTTATTAGAATTTTAAAAAATCAGTGCATATAATAATTTAATATTTTTTGATTAATAAAATCATTGTTTCATATAATGATATTCATCTTAAATAGTTTTAGATTTATTTCTTTTAGGATTGTATATAACATAATGCTAAAATATAAATATTAAGTCAAAAACCAAACCAATACAACTTAAAATAATGTTCATCCCAACTAAGCTAACACTTTCAAAAAAATAAGAATTGAAAAAATACTTCCATAAATTTAATCATTTAATATTTGTAAAAAGGATTAAATACCTGCAATATATGTCAATAATATATTTCCTATACTCCATCATTCAGTTGATATCTTTTATAGTTTAAATAAACTTAAGGAACATTTTTTTTAAAGTTACAAATAGTTTTTCTTATCCCATCCAAATAAAACATTTAATTTTTCATTTTTTAAAATCACTTGCCAACCAAATATCCATGTCAAAATTATATATATTATAGTTTAGATCACAAAATTATTAATAAAATTATACATCATAAACTTACTCCTGGATTATCTCCTTTTTTATAATAATAAGCTATTTATATTATAATTTTTATTTCTACAGAATGAATTGCAAAATTGAGCTCTTGTAAAGTAATATTAACTCTAAATGGCCATCCATTCTCTCCACCTTTAAAATACCCAGCTGATATATAAGCACTTAAATTTAAATATCCACTTAAATTAAGCCCCAAAATTCAAATGCTATTCCTTAAAATTTTAATTAAAACAATGTTATACTGTTTTGCTTTAAAGTTTCATATAATTATCCATAAAGACTAAAAGATCAAAAAAATATATAAGACCAATCTATTATATTGCTTATAATATCAAGGGCTTTATTATTCGTTACTTCTGAGCTATAACTTTAAAGCACTGCTTCTATGGTAAATAAAACATTCAATTTTTATTTATTTTTATAATTCGATTAATTGTTTTCGAACTAAAAATTTATTCTTCAAATTTCTAAATTTAAAACAATGCTGTTTTCTTATTTATATCATCATTTCTCTGTTTAATTCACAAATAGTTTGCTCATTTAAAAGAAATTAGAAAAAAATATTTTTTCACTTATTATCTTATATCATTAATTTGATTCTTAATTTATCACCTTTTTCAAATTTTTATTTAAATATTTTTTCGTAATAATATTTTTTTTTATTTATAACAGATTAATATAATTTATATTGTAATTTTAATTTATTTGAACACTTCTTTACAGAAAATTTTTTTAATTTCATAAAGATATATATAATAGATATTTTTCAATAAAATATATTAAAACAAGTTTAATATTACTTCTTAATAAATTTTAAAGATCTAATTATTTAAAACTGCCATTTATAAATTACATAAAAAGATTGAGATTTAAATCTAAAGATTATAGAATATGATAATTTTTATCAAATTAAAATTTTAATAATTTTCTATTATCCTAGCTTCAATTGATTCTTAAATTAAAAGAGTGCTATCATGATAAAATTGTGAAATAAACTATTTATATTAATACTCAATTACTTTTTTCTGAAAAATTATTTTATAAAAATATATTAAAAAATCTTTATTGAAATCATAAAGAAAAAAATCAAATTAAAAATAAAATAAGTTTGACTAGAGCACAATTTATAATAAATATTCGATTGAATCTTTCTCTTTAAATTTCAAATATTTAAGTAAAAAATTGTTAACTAATATTTTGAATTTTTAAGACTATTAATGGTGATTCAGTATATAAAAATTTACAAATTACTAAAATCTAGAAACTACCTACAATTTAAACTCTTGTCTAATTTATTCTATATGCTGTTAAACTATAAATATTCAATGATTAATAAATGTATATATTTCTTAAAATACTTTATTATTAATTTATAATAATTATTTAAATAATAAAATTAGAATAAGAAAAAATTTGAAATCCTTTTTATAAAAATAAAAAGGATAAATTGATTTTTAGCATAAAATTTGTAAACCTAAAATTTTATAATTTAATAATGAAATTCATTCCTTTGACTCACCATTATCAAACTATGGCTGTCATTTATGAAAAATGTGCTGATATATCAAAATAGATAGATGCACTTTCATAAACATCCAAATCTAATGTTTTGATTGAAAATGAAGATACATAATAGCAAGCTAAGATTATTCCTTAAGTTTAAGAATAGGAAATTATATAAAAAGATAAAAAGCTTTTAGATAGATAAATTTAAAAATAGATAGAAAACTTATCTTTAGATAAATAAGATTCAAAGAAAGATTAGAGGAAAAAATAATAAAAAAGTATAA